TGGATAAGATATGCATAAATAAAGTATTTGAGCATAAGTAAGATACTTATTATTATTATTTTCCCCTCAGAAACCGTTCTCGATTTTTTATTGGTGTAGAGACTTTCAAGCTATGTTTAAATATTTGTAAGTCCTTCGTAGCTCTGTTATTAGTTCTTTGAGTTATGTTTATGCAGAAAATTAGAGAGCCTAAAAAGTGAAAATAATTTTTAAAACCAGGCGCGTAGCTAGAGGGGGGCAAGAAGGTATCTGTCCCCGGGCGCAAAAATCCAAGGGGCGCCAAACTGATGTTACGACATTTTAGAATTAAATGTTTTCCATCCTTGGCAAGCAGTAGGGGGAGTGAAATCTTCAGTTGTCCCTGGGCGCTGAAAACCCTAGCTACGACTCTGTTTAAAACTTATTTTATGAGAATATACATTAATCAAACAGACGGTATATCAAAGTTATTTTTAGATAAAAATTAAAGATCCATTAACGTAAATGGATTTCACGATTTCAATAGCAGAAGAAAATGGACGTCATGTTTTTCAGTGTCTAGGCCTTCTCCTTATGGAGGTCACGCCTATGCTTACATGTTCCCTAAATTTGGAGTTCTGCTATTCTTAAAAATTACATGGCTAGGTATGAAGAATCCTTTTAAATATTATTCACAAAACTTCGTTTACGTAGCATAAACCTTGTTTGATATTATGATGAAAAGATATGTTCGTTATGAATGTATTTTATTCTTTTTATGATGCTTAAATACGAGATTTCTAAACTATAAGCGACAGAAGTCGGAAGGAAATTTCCGAAATTAGGAAAATAACATTAGTTTTATACCTTAAAAAGCAGTTTTATTAAAATTTTCCATAAATTATAGGAGATGACAAAGCCGATTTTTGTCTCGAAACTAATTTTAAGAAACTCTTGACCTTGAAACAGCTATTTATTTCATCAACTATCGCGTTATTTATAAGAATCACAGACAACACCAATTTTGAGTTTCCTTGTATAATCATTTGGTATGCAACGAAGTCGTTTGGATCTTGCCTGTATTCTGGACAACTGTGAGTAATATTTTATTGTTGAATCTAGTTCTGTTATATCCAACTAACTTTTTCCTAAATAAATATACCTAAAATTTCTTTGTAATCGAGAAATGAAATAAATCTCTTCAAACAAAACTCGTCAAAATGTTATAAAAAACCGCTAGTGCCTGAGTGATTAAAGCATCTGAACTTTTGCAGACCAAGCCTGGGGTCGTTCTTGGCAAACATATTAACCACATGGGAGTTTTTTTCCTTTTCTTCTGTGTAACGTTAATACGAACCAGTTCCCTGAAACAGTTCTCCACAAAAGTTTTCTGCCTCTAGCCATAGGCATGTCCAAAGTACAGCAGGAGAGCCACACGCAGCTTTCTTGCTCTCTGATCATTGGACGTAGGAAATATTCTTATCTCCATGCCCCTGGCTGAGGTTCTCCAGCTATATGAGATTCTTTGGTTTTGCAAACGCTTGCAACATCAACTAGTGCTTTTATTTTTGAAACAGAAATCCTGCAACGATATTTTTCATTATCAATTCGTAATTTAAGTTCCTAAATTATATTACGTACGTAATTATTTAATCGATTATAAGCCGCCTCTCAATTGTCAGAGTACTAACAAAATGGCGTATAATTCTTCTTCCAATAAACTTCTGCCAATAAACTATAACGGCTCTTTTATTTTTTAGAGTATAAACTAAAAATAGGACAAAACCTGAAATTTTTTTAATTAGAATCCAAATCCTGAAACATTTTCGAAACTTTTGAATATCAGATCTTTCGAAACTTTCAAATAAAACAAAAGAAACAGTTAAATAAAATTTGAAATCGTGGCTTAATTAAACACACATTTGAGAATATATTTTTAAAAATACACTTATGTTTATTAAAAAGATGCATATAAAATTTAGTAAATTAGATATATAATAAAACTTTTGAATCTTACAAAGTTTACCAACTATGGCTGAATAATTCAACTGGTAGGCAGTTGGAGTTATGTTCTAATAGGTGGGCCACCGTTACCTGCTATGAAAGAGTGGATAAATTATATACATGCCTTCTCCGGCATTCGAATTCGGGCCTTTGGTACGGCAGTCAGAGTAACTAGCCACTTTTCCAACTGGGTGGCAAATGAAAAAAAAAAAAAAAGTTACGAAATAAAAGATCTCCGTTGACTAATATATTCTTTGTTCAATGCATTCTCCTTCATGCTCAGAAAATGGATATAAATGCTAGCATATATAAAACATTTCTCTTGGAATTTTTGCATTTTAAGATTACTTTTCTGTTCAAGTACATTGAATGCTTTTAGGGTGCTTTAAATTTCTTCCTATCCGCTTTGCAATACTTTATTATAACAGTTTCCTTAAATGCTTTCTTTTTTACTATTTAACTTTTAAAGATTATTCTGACAAAAAATTTTATCCCTTATCTTTTTTTCCCACGACATTCCAATAACCTTGGCAAGCTTCCAAACTTCTTACTTAAAATGCGTTTTTTTCGGTGAAGTTTCTGTGATAACTTCCGTTTCAATTCCTTCTCACAAATGAATGAAATTACGTTTTCACTTATAACTATACAAGAGAAGTTATGAAGATAATTGTGCACATGTCATTAATTATAGCATCAACTTCTATTAATAATATTAAATTATGATAAAATTATATTTGTTAACATTTATTATGTACTATCTAGTATAATACACAATTCAGGTTATGTATTCGAAAAAGGAGAAGTTGAAACTCAGTTCATATGCTTAATATTGAATCAATATTAAATTCTCAAAAGTCATATTCGAACGGTACTTTTAGGTAATTTTGAAAAGGTAAGTTACTTGCATTTTTCAGTACTTTTAATGTTAGTATTTTTAAGAAAATACAGATGATATTTATATAACACTAGTAGAAAACCATCAGAAAATCTTTAAATCTTTAGCAATCTTGCTTTAAAGCATGAAGAAAGGAGCTGAGGACTTTGGCGAACGCCGTTTCCTCCAATCCGTGAGGAAAATTTTAAAATTAATTCCTTTCTCAAATATAAACGTTACGGTTACAGCAAAATTCGTCATTCAAATGTGAAAGTATCGGATAGAAAAAAATTCATAAAAATAAAAATGCAGGAAAATCCACAATTACCATAGCTTATGTTCATAAAATTTTCTTTTAAGTCATTAAATTGTGTATGTTATAAAGCTTGTATATATATGAATGAAAATCCTATTTCTTTTAAATATAAAAGTAAAATTACGATGTAAATTTAAAATCTAACACAGCGGCAATTTTTTAATTGAAATTCTCAGATATTCAAATAAATTATTCTAGTATATTTTTTAAACTATTAAATTAAAGCAACAAAGCAAAATCGTTATGAATCTACTTATTTTCAAAAATTATTCGTGAAGGTAAAATAAAATTGTAGTTTTATTTGTGTTTACGAACAGTGTGCAAATGCATGAAAATTGTGTAACCTGGAAGTAATGTCCAGTTTTTATTATGTCGTTTAAAACGCAGTTAAAAAAATAGTCTAAATGAGAAAAATGTACAGTAGAAATTTCTTCAAAATTGTGATACGCATATTCTGGATTGGAGTATTAATGTTACTAATATACTACTACTAATTAGGATAAACTTACACGCCGAACAAGTATGAATTTAAAAGTGAAACAACAAAAATCAGCGTTATATTTTAAATTTTCACAGGACTAGTTTCGATCGTTTTATCGAACCATCATCCTCAGCTGCCAAAACGCAAATGGAGCATTCATTTTCGCTTTTGCAGCTGAGGAAGATGGATCGGTAAAACCACCGAAATTAGTTCTGTCAAAATTTGCAAATATAATGCTGATTTTTATTGTTTGAATTCTAAATAATGCTGAAATGCTGCTACTAGTATAAAAATTTTTATTTTAACATCTTATTTTTAATTTTTTAACCCTTTGAGCACAAAGCTTGGTGGAGAAAAGCAGTGAGTCCAGCTCGTTGGCATATTTTGTATAATTGGCTCTGTTTTCGTAAACTTTTATTAATTAAGATGTTATTTTGGCAATATATATCAAATGACAAAAAATCTTGTAATGGGATAAAGGCGATCATGCCACTCAAAGAATTAAAATTGACTAGAAAATATAATAGTTTATATGTATGAATGTTGAACTATTTAATCTATAAAATAAGAATTCAAATATATAACCAATATAAAAATGAGACTTTCCTGGAAAGTATGTTATTCATTGAAGGTTTTCTTCTTCAATAAATAATAGTTTTCCATGAAGCATTTCAACATAGATACAAAGGATGAAAACTTAAATTTTCTATTAAATTTTTTTTTGATATTGAGCATTCAGCAAAGCACAATGGGCGCGAAGGTAAACATTCCTTTGTCCTCGTCAAACATGTTTACCAACTCACCAAACATGTTCTTGGGTTATATTTGTTAAAAATATTTTTCTTCATTACCATCACATACCTTTGTGATGTAAAAGCACATCTTGGTAGCAACCGGGAAGTCCAAAACTCAAACCCTGGGGAAGGCATTGTTGATTTTTTCTTCTTCGAGAAATATCTAATTGCTCTAAGCACTATTGTAATAATAATAAGGTTAATTATTCAGATTATATTGAGAGTCGGTAGAAACAGGAATGACTGAAAATACTTGACACGAAGGGACAGCTAATTATTTAAATGCATTTTAGAAAGTAAATGCAAGTTCATGTCGCTTAATTATCTTAATCGATTCTGCAGAATGAAAGAAATTAGTCTCTAACTTAAATAGGACCATTACACGTTTTACAGTTATTCTTATGCACCCATGCATTAAATAGTACCAATAATCAGTAATTTAGCTCTCACTCATACATCGAGTTAATGTCGGAAGGTAAGAAAGACCGAAATCTTATATTGATCTGTCTATCTATTTATGTTATAATAACAACTTACGCATGATTCATTTGTTAACAGCGCTTCAGTTAAGAGATGAGCTTACGTCTTGGATTACTTCTGTCACTGATGGAGTTAGTTTCTTGTCTTGATCAAGTTGTCAAAACGAAAAATGGCCTTGTGAGAGGAACGACTGTCGAATTTCAGAAAGCTAAAGTCCAAGCATTTTTGGGAGTACCTTTTGCCGAGCCACCGCTAGGACAGCTTCGCTTCAGAAAACCTCGACCCGCTAAAGAATGGTCAGGTGTCCGAGATGCCACTAAAATGCCCCCTGCTTGCATTCAGTTTTCATTTTATCCATTTCCTTCGTATGATTTTAAAAACGATAAAAGTGAAGACTGTTTGTATCTGAATATATGGCTTCCGGAGAACACACAGGCATCTGACAGAAAGGCCGTCATGTTTTGGATCTACGGCGGTGGATTTACTCTGGGATCGATAACGAAGCCAGAATATGACGGAAGACTTTTAACCTTAGTAGGAGATGTTATTGTAGTGAGTGTTAACTACAGAGTGGGCTCACTTGGTTTCCTGAATTCTGGTTCAGATGAAGCGCCTGGTAACATGGGTAAGTTATGTTTCCACAATTATATGAAAGATTTAAGAATAATTTTTTGAATTCAGTAACGTATTGTGAAAATGATTAGCTATAACACTTTTAAACTCGCAACTTATAAACTTTCAGATAATTAACCAATCTACATGAATTATGATTTGTCGAAGAATTTCTTAATGTATAATCCCAATTAACGGAATTTTATGTAACTGAAAATCATTCTAGTAGAAACGGTAAGAAAAGTAAGATGCTTTCTGACTATCCACAACTCCACGAAAAAGGGTCAGCTTATTAATGACTTTGACGATTAGAAAACGTTTGTTTGGCTATCTTTACAGCTTATAGGCTCTGTTCTGTTCATAAATAATGATAAAAAGAAATAATTTTTCAGAAACAAGAAATTTCATGAGAAAAAACCAAAGTGCATGTGGCAGAAATTTGCATTTTTAACAGCCAACAAATATTGTTCAGAGAAACGATGGTTAAATATAAAGCATATAAATCCAGTCACTCAAATGCATCTGTCGTATGCTCATACGTAAGTTAGCTATTATAGCCATATTGAGAGTATTACAAAGACACGCCGGTTTCACCATATATTGAAACCATGGGGAGGGAGTACGAATAATCGAAAGGTGAAAACTAGGAAACTTTCCATGAAACTAAAAAAATCCCACTTGGAATGGTGGATCAGAGTTTTCAGAAACGTTTGAGCTAAAGTAGCAAAAGTTGAATAGAATAGTAGCAAAATGTAACATGTGAACGTCAGAGATCAAGAGATATTTTTTGTGTGTGACGTCATTGATACCAGTTCCAATTCTTCTTTTGATTACCTCGATTAATTTTAGATTGTTAAGGTTATTCATATCCATTGTTAGATACTTTCTTACGTTTGGATTGTTACTGATAATTGTACTAATTCTTTTGAGTTAGTGGTTTATTGCTTTAAATTTATTATTTCTTGTTTTACTTTAACCGTTAATGATTTTCAATTAATTTTACGTTCCGATTGTTGAACTTATTTCACTTCATCAGATTTTTGTTTACTGCAGTCCAGACGTTACTGTTCTGTTTGGTTTTGTTTCATCTGGACGGTACCATCTAGATAATACTGTTCTGTTCCAAGACGTAAATATTTCAGATGATAATAGTACATGATCAAATAAGTCAACCTATGTTTAGCTGGCAAAATGATTGGATATTTACAATCATAACTTACCTGAGATTGCGCAAGTCTGCTACCGGCGCGTAAGATTCAATCATTATCGATGAATGGATTTAACGATTTAAGCTTGCTCCTACGAGGTACCTGGCTATCGCTCTTAAGTAACTCAATATCAGAATAAAATTCACCTTTCTGCACTTCCCTAATCAATGTTAACTCGGCCTTTTTCCGTTCGTCTAAGGATATAGGCCATAAAACCCTTTCCTTATTCCTATTGATTCTGAAAAACCTAAAACTAAAACTACAAATTTTGATTAATTTCATATAATTATTTGTTTGATTTAAGAGAGAGGCTAAACTAGAATTATTTTCTAATATTGCAAAATTAGAGTCTGATAAACATTTTAGTTCCTTGTCAGTGCTAGGTTCAAGAGGTTGTTCTGGATAATGCACGTCCTTACGGAGAAGATATGGTCCATTCCACCAGATATCACAAGTAAGAATGTCATTGGCATTCAGTCTACGCGATATGACATCAGCTGGATTACATTCACATGGCACATATTTCCATTGGTATGACCCCATCAGCATCAACTCTGTTGCTCACGAAAGTTTTCCGTAAGTTCGGTGATTTTCTAATCCAAGCAAGAGAAATCGTAGAAACAGACCAAATAATTACTTTTTCTACTTTAACATTCCACGAAGATATCACTACAAATCAATCTGGATAATAGAAGGCAACCTGACAGTTCCAATCTAGGAATTGATAAGGGTTTTATAGGTGCAACTCGTGACTTGCTACACAAAAGTCGAACGGTTGGCAATCCCGAAACTGGTAAGGCTTGAACATAGATTGCAGCTCCGTATGCCGAAGAGGATGCATCTGCAAATCCATGGAGCACTATGTGATCTTCCTGGAATACAAATCTAGGAATCTTAAGATTACTTAGTTCAGAGAGTGTGGATACGAAATTAATCCACTCCTTGGCCATAGAATCTGGCAATGTGTCATTCCAATCGAGTTTAGCAAGCCAGAGCCTTTGCATGAATATTTTGGCCTTTGTGATCAGTGGCCTAATTAAACAAAGTCGATCGAACATTTTCGAAATTAGTGACAGAACATCTCGTTTACTATAACTGTTAGAGTGAGGAATGGCCATTGTAAACAAAAAGCAGTCAATCTGAGGATTCCATAGGACATCAAGAGTTTTTACGGGCGAAGATTCTTGTTGCTCTTCAATCGTGTATTCTGAATGAGCGGTGAACTGTACTCAGGAGCTGGTTGACTTTGTATTTAATAACAAAGATTATCACCAGAAAGATATTTACTTTATTATATATTTATTAATCATTTTGTTGCTGTAGAGGAACGATCTGGCTCCAAAACATTTTAAATTCTCAATCACAAAGCTGTAAGATCTGTTACAGCAAGTACACAAAAGAAAAGAATACTCAATTCAAATTACGTAGGTCGAGAGTATAACGCGCTAGCAGCGCCTCCTGTCGGCAACTCTTTATCACTACTGAACATACTCCCGACCTTGAAACCTTACGGGTTTCAAAATATTACAATTAGTATACACTGTTTTAAAGCACAGTATAATAACAAACAGTTGTAAGCAATAGAAATACAATGGTTAAATTTAAAAGACACATTAAATCATAAAATGCAATATAAACACTGGAAAGAAACCACATTACAATATACAATACATAAATCTAATTACAATTCACAGGAAGAACACAAATGTCTCTCACATTTCTTTTTAATATTTTTACCACCTGGTAATACTATGTTAATCACGTGAACCTTCGAACTTTTTTATCTTTTTCCAAAAATTATTTCTGCAATTCTACCGTGTTAACCATTTTGTACTGAGCATAATGCTCATCCTTAACTAACACAAGCGTACCCACCTTAACATTATCTTTTTGTAAATATCCACTTACTACGTTGTTGAAGGTTATTTAAATTAGTCTCTCTTCCAGAACTTGTTCAACTCCAAATTTGTTGACTATATTTCGTTATTTTTTGCCATTTTGAAGAGCCTATTTTCTGTTATCTCAATAAGTTGGGGTTCAGCTATTGAAGTTAAAGTCCTCCCTATGAGAAAATGTCCGGGGGACAAGGTTTCAAAATTATCAAACTCGGATGATAAGGGAGTAAGAGGTCTGGAATTTAATACGCTTTCAATTTCTAGAATTACAGTAAGAAATTCTTCAAGAAAACAGATGAGCATTGACAATAATTCGTTTCAAATGAAACTTAAAAAGATTTCACCCCGGCTTCCCAAAGGCCCGCCGAAGTTTTGCTGATTTAGGAGGAATAAACCTCCACTCAATGTTTTTCACTTAGCAGGTATTTAGTCAGTGTTTCATCTGGGTGTTTAACCAATTTATGCAATTTTCTGAGCTCAATGCTTGCACCCACATAATTCTTTGCATTGTCACTGAATAATTTTGCACATTTACTCCTGCGACTAAAAAATCTTTTCAAACAAGCTATAAAGGAATCTGAAGTAAGATCAGAGACAAAATCTAAATGGATAGCTTTGGTGCTTAAGCATACAAATATCCACACATACACTTTGTTCAGTTTTCCCTTACGCTGATTTTTAAATTTAATGTGGAATGGTCCACAAAAATCAGTTCCAACATTACTAAATGGGTAAGAAGGTGTTACTCGTTCTTTGGGCAGATCAACCCATTATCTGAGCTCTCAAAAACAGGTTGTAATTTTAAAACAAGTTATACATTGAAAACCAACTTTACGACAAACATTTCTGCCATTTAAGACCCAAAATTTACGTCGAACATGATGCAATAATGCATTTGAACCAACATGAAAATACTTTAAATGATAATATCTCATAATTATTAAAGTTAATGGATGCTTATCTAGCAGAAAAATTGGATTTTTTTCATATGTACAGAGGTCAGAATGTTTCAGTCTACCTCCAACCCTTAGAACATTGTCTTTATCTAAATAACAGTTTAAAGATTTTACCTTTGCTGTTGCTGGGCACTGAGGCACCTTATCTCAAGATGTTTTATTTCATCCTACAAACTCACCTTGTTGGATTGACCTAAATAAATAGATTCCTCCTCTTCTCAACTCGCTAAATGTAAGGTGACCTGTAAGCTTTTTCATTTCTAACATTATTGATAAATCTAAATACATAGCACATAACATGAACAATATTTAAATAATTATTACTCAAGGAAAGAATATCATCAACTATAGAACTATGATTTAAACAGTAAAGGCAATAGGAGAATGATCCATTAGAGTCATCAGTTTCTTTAGTTCATCAGAAAAGTCATCTAATGAAATTAGAATGTCATTATTGTCTACCGGAACATCAGTCTTTTCTCTCAAAAATTGGGGTCCATGCCACCAAATGTCACTGTTCAATAAATGTCAGCACTGACTCCCCTGCTGAGGAGATCAGCTGGATTTTTGCTTCCCAGGGCAGTTTGCCCAGGCACTGGTATCACTTAAACTCTGTATTTTTTTAACTCTATGGCACAAATGATTTCCATCGTTTCGTAGATCCTTTAATCCAATAGAGAGTTATTTTTTTGAATCCGTCCAAAAGAACACTAAGGAGGTCTTTTTTCAAATCCACTGTTTTCTTTGACTTTAACTCGCTAGTCGAGCGGCAAGCAAGCACCGAGTAATTCTAGTCTCGGAAGAGTGATTTTCCTTAGTGGCGTCACTCGACTCTTGCTAACCAATAAATTCACTTCGATGTTATTATCCTTCACAACTCTTGCATAAATAGCAGCACCGTAAGCTTTTTTTGGCTAGCATCGCAGAAGCAGTGTAGTTCTAAGATATCGGTTG